ATCGAGACTTATGACATGGAAACCATGTTGAGGGCTAGTTTTTTAATTTTTTTTTTATCATGGGATTATTTGTTCTTTTTTTTTTTTTGTTTTTTGTTTTTTTTTACAGAAACTAACAGAACCGTTAACAAAGGGTTTCCTTCTGAGTTCTGGCATAAATAGAAGACTTAAGGGCTTATAAGTCTAAAAAGATAGTTTAGGGGCTTGTGTGGAAGAATAGGATAAGTTCAAGAGCTTAAGATTTGCCATTATTATATTAACGTGCAACCAAAATTTAAAATCATCCGTTCTCAAAGAAAAAATGTTAAAATCATCTAAATATCTAATATTCCACCCAATTTAAACCATAATCGTGATGACCAAAAAACTCCATGATTGGTAAAAAGAGAAGAAATTTTCACGAACCATAGTTATCTTCCAGAATTTAAAGCCAGTTTTCAAACTTCGCCAGTCTTCACGTTGCACGATAGTAGCACAAGACTTGTAAAATTAAGCTGTATTATTATTATGGTGGGGCAGAAGGACAATGAAAGCACTAATTAAATTGACTTTGAAGCAACGAGGACCAAAAAGACATCCAAGTCTTGGTGAACGCGCTCGAGTGATCATGATCAAAATACAAAAATAGGATGCTTTAAATTACCTACTCGGATTCTTCATCTTTAGTGTAACTTCGGGGAACGGTGATTTATTTGCCTGTCCATGGGACTATATTTGAATCTACAAGCAAAATTAAATATCACATCTCATCTTCCATACAATATTGAAACCATCATTATGAGGGAAACTTTCCACGCTATGCTTGTTCTAGTTACTGTATTGTTCTTTGGAGCTGCACAGTTTTGTTCCGGTTGGAACACAAGCTTTAGCTGTATAGAAAGGGAGAGAGAAGCCCTCTTGAAGTTCAAACTTTGTTTTAATGATCCATCGCATATGTTGTCTTCTTGGAAAGGCAATCACTGTTGTGAATGGAGAGGAGTAGGCTGTGACAAAAAAAGCAGATATGTTGTCTCGCTTCAACTCAAGGGATCAATCTCTAATCAAGTTTACTTGATTAACGATGTAGAGGAGGTTGTTTCAAGTTTGCTCAAGCTGAGATACTTGGAACACCTGGACTTGAGCAACAATAATTTCAGTGGTAATTTTATTCCACCATCCTTTGGCTTGATGAAGCAGTTGAGATACCTAAATCTCTCTTATATGCAGTTCAGAGGAAGAATTCCTAGTGAACTTGGAAATCTTACAAGGCTTCATGCTCTTGATCTTTCTCAGCATTATTATGGGAGATTGAAGGTTGATGATGACATTCAGTGGATTTCTCGTCTCTCTCCTTTGCAACAACTTGATATGAGTGGAGTAAATCTAAGCCATGCCTCATCAAACTTGTTCCAGGTACTTGGCATGCTTTCTTCATTATCATGGTTGAGTCTGTCAGACTGTAGTCTAAAAAATTCTCATCTACCATCTCACAACCATCCCCTTAATTTTACGTTGGTTGGAAATATTCAACACTTCGATATTTCACAGAACTCTTTTCATGGTCCAATACATATTTTTCTCCAAAACATGACTTCATTGACATTTCTTGATATGAGTGGAGTAAATCTAAGCCTTACATCATCAAACTTGTTTCAAGTACTTGGCATGCTTCCTTCCCTATCATGGTTAAGTCTGTCAAGCTGTAGTCTCAAAAATAGTCACTTGCCATCTCACAACCATCCCCTTAATTTTACATTGCTTGGCAATATTCAACACTTGGATCTTTCAACTAACCTTTTCCAAGGTCCAATACCTATATTTCTCCAAAACATGACTTCCTTGATATTTCTTTATCTTGTTGGCAATCAATTGAGTGGGAGTATTCCAGATAGCATCGGGCAACTTTCTAAGTTAGAGCTCATAGATCTTTCTTTCAATCAATTGAGTGGGAGTATTCCAGATAGCATTGGGCAACTTTCTAAGTTAGAGAGCATAGATCTTTCTGCTAATCAATTGAGTGGGAGTATTCCAGATAACATCGGGCAACTTTCTAAGTTAGAGAGTATAAATCTTTTTGTCAATCAATTGAATGGGAGTATTCCAGATAGCATCGGGCAACTTTCTAAGTTAGAGAGTATAGATCTTTCTGTCAATCAATTGAGTGAGAGTATTCCATATAGCATTGGGCAACTTTCTAAGTTAGAAAGCATAGATCTTTCTATCAATCAATTGAGTGGGAGTATTCCAGATAGCATTGGACAACTTTTTAAGTTAGAGGGCATAGATCTTGCTGGCAATCAATTGAGTGGGAGTATTCCTGATAGCATCGGGCAACTTTCTAAATTAGAGAGCATATATTTTTATCACAATCGATTGAGTGGGAGTATTCCCGATAGCATTGGGCAACTTTCTAAATTAGTGAGCATATCTCTTTTTGTCAATCAATTGAGTGGGAGTATTCCAGATAGCATTGGGAAACTTTCTAAGTTAGAGAGTATGGATCTTTCTGCCAATCAATTGAGTGGGAGTATTCCAAATAGCATATGGAAACTTTCTAAGTTAGAGAGTATAGATCTTTCTAACAATCAATTGAGTGGAAGTCTTCCAGATAGCATCGGGCAACTTTCTCAGTTAGGCAGCATAAATCTTTCTAGCAATCAATTTGAAACAGGATTTCCTGAATGGCTTCAATTGCAAAAGACAATAATTTGGGTTGATCTCTCTAATGCTAGCATCTCAGGTCCTCTTCCAGAAAACATAGGTCATATGATGCCAATGTTGCGTGGATTATATCTTGCAGATAACCTCATGAATGGTTCAATTCCAATGTCACTATGTAACTCAAAATCTTTGGAATTTCTTGATCTTTCAAACAATATGTTATCTGGAAGTATTCCTAATTGTTGGAGAAATGATCAATCATTCAATTTTATTGATCTATCTTCTAACAATCTCTCGGGTTTATTTCCGAGCACAATGGCACGACTTTCTTCTTTAACTGTATTGCATTTAAACAATAATAGCCTCCATAAGGGACTACATGTGGCCTTGAAAAACTTCACTTCTTTAGAGGTTTTGGATTTGGGTGAAAATAAATTTTCTGGAAATCTAACAAGCATTGTAGGGGGCAAGATCGGCAACCACTCTTTAAAGATTCTCCGACTGCGAAAAAATTTGCTTTTCGGTTATATTCCTTTAGAACTATGCTCTCTTTCTCAATTGCAAATTCTCGATCTTGCGGATAACAATCTGACAGGAAGGATTCCTCCTTGTTTTGGAAAGTTTCCAATTATGGTGAATGCAACAAAATTGATCCATGACATGTATTATTATATTTCAGATAGAAATTGGGATCAGACGCCTTTGACAGAGGTTGTGAAAGGGAGATACCTTAACTATATAGGAAAAACTCTAAGACTTGAGATTAATATAGATCTTTCAAGAAACAGTCTAATAGGATCCATACCAGAGGAGCTAATTTTTCTTAAGGATTTGCACAGTTTGAATTTATCTTGGAATCATCTCTCAGGAAAGATCCCTGAGAAAATTGGACAAATGGAGAATTTGGAATCTCTTGATTTCTCTAAGAATGGCCTCTCGGGAATGATCCCAAACAGCATGTCAAGTTTAACCAAATTAAGCCACCTCAACTTGTCCTACAATAATTTGTCAGGGCCAATTCCAACAGGCTATCAACTCCAAACACTTGAAGATCCAACCATATATGCTGGCAATCCTCAACTCTGTGGAGCTCTACTCCTAAAGAAATGCTCAAATGATGCACTACCTCCGACAACTGCCAACTTCAAGGACAACGATAAAGGTGAACTTAAAAGAATGTGGTTTTACATTGTCGTGATGTTAGGCTTTGCAACTGGATTTTGGGGAGTTGTGGGAACTTTGATTTTGGTGAAAAGTTGGAGATATGCTTATTTTCAATGGGTGGATGATGTCCAACACTGGATACTTGTGGCTATAACATTGAAGGTGGCACAACTCAAGAAGATGTTCAATGGCAACCAAGATGATCAATGAGTTATATATAGAGTATGTTGTTGTTGCTACATTTATTATTAAGTTAGTTGCACATCCTCATGTTGCAAGGTATGGTGTCAGGCCCAACTTTGAATGGCTCAATATTGAAAAGGCCAATTTTAAATGAAAACATAAACATTAGAGTTTGTAAAGTTTTCAATAATATAACATAAGCTCTAGTTCTATAAGTTTCACAAAAATAAAAACTCCTAGATTCCGACAGAAAATAAAGAATTCTATGCAAGGCTTTCAGATTGCATGGATTTCCATCTTTCTAGTTTTGTTAAAAAAAGAAAGTAAAAAAAAAAAAAGAAAAGAAAAAGAAAGCAAGAGATGAAAGAATGAGATAGGAAGAATGGCTCAGCTGAGTATACAATAATAGCTAAAATAAAGTCTTTACATATTCATGGTCAAAGTTTGGAACTTTTAATCACACATAATCAAATTTCTCAATTGAGTATCCAATATAATGCAACTCTTCCATAAAATTCCCATGTCTTCAATATTTTCTAAAACATATTTTCACATTGCATAAGGCATATCAACTACAGACTCATAAAACATTGTCAAAGTTAAATAGTGAAGTCTGTTATGTTAGTTTAACCCTGAATAGCTAACTAATTCCTGCAACAGAAAATGAAACACAATTAATCATTTATTGTTTTTAATGTTATATCAAGACTCCCAATATATAAAAGGCCTAAAAGCCAAAGCATACAATGCAGAAGAACTTGGATAAACCTCAAGAATAAAATGAATATCCACAAAAGGATAAGGATTAATACCTCCAACTGCAACTCAATATTTAGCATTGCCTTTCTCCTAACAAACCATCCTCGAATAAAGCCACTAAAAAAGAGTATATCTAAGTGAGAAAAAATATAGATAATTCTGATCTTTTTTATTTAGAAGATGATGTTGGTATACTTTTATAATACAAAAATAAAATATAAGGGTGATGTTTTTGTGGCCAAACCTTGAGTCTTCTTCATCCTGCACACTCATAAAGGTGCAAATGCCATTACAGTAGCTATGAAATGACTAACATGTTTTCACCCTCCAAAAGGAGTTATATTAAGAAAATTATGAAATTAAAGCTCTAGGAAACCTATGAGATAAGATTGTAGGTCTTCATCATGTACATGATAACATAATACATGTGTAGCCAAATTGTATAGCAAATCCTACTAGTTAGACAATGTTTCCAAAGTAAACAACTCTCACTTCATTTCTACTAAAAAAAAAAAAAAAATGTGGGATAAGATTGTAGGTCTCCATCATGTACATGATAACATAATACATGTGTAGCCAAATTGTATAGCAAATCCTACTACTTAGACAATATTC